TTAAACTTTGCCACTGCTACTGGAGTGAGATCAGATCTCTATTTGTGCTTTATTGACTATGAAAAGGCATTTGACTGTGTGGATTATGACAGTTTGTGGCTGAAATTGAGAAGAATGGGAAGCCCAGAGCACTTGATTGTGCTCTTGAGGAACCTATACCTGTATCAGGAGGCTGTTGTGTGAACAGAGAAGGAGAGCACTGCATAGTTTGGAATTGGGAAGGGAGTGCATCAGGGATGTATTCTGTCTCCATACCTGTTCAGTCCACATGCTGAACAAATTATCTGAGATGCTGGACTCCATGAAGAGGAATGTGGCATCAGGATTGGAGGGAGACTCATAAATAATCTGCATTATGCAGATGACACAACTTGCTTGTTGAAAGTGAGAAGGATTTGAAGCACTTGTTGCAGAAGATCAAGGAATGTAGCCTTTACTGTAGATTGCATCTCAATATCAAGAAAATGAAGATTCTTTCCACTGGTTTAATAAGCAGTGTCATGATGGATGGAGAGGAGATTGAAACTGTCAACAGCTTTGTCTTGCTTGTATCGACAATTAACACCCTTGGTACCAGCAATCAGGAAATAAGGAGATACATTGCAATGGGAAAATCTGCAGTTAGGGATCGTTCCAAACTATTTAGGAGTAATGATGTCAGTTTGAGGACTAAGGTGCATGTGATTTAGGTCAGGGTATTTCCAGTTACTAGCTATACATCAGACACCTGGAAAATGAATAAGGATGACAGAAAAAGAATTGACGTCTTTGAGCTATGATGTTGGAGAAGAGCACTGAACATTCCATAGACAGCCAAGATATCGAATAAATAGGTCTTAGAGATAGGGTGCAGCCAGAGTGATCTTTGGAGGCAAGAATGATGAGGCTTCACCTCACATTCTTTGGACATATTGCTAGGAGATGCTATTCCTTGGAGATGGATATGATGTTGGGAAGGGTGGAGGGTTGGCAAAGGAGAGAAAAGACCCTCAACCAGGTAGGCTGATAAAATGCTGCAATGGGCTCTTGTGTGTCAGGAAGTGTGAGGATGGTGCAGGACAGGACTGGGTTCAGAGCTTTTGTTCACAGGGTCACTATGAGTCATACTCAACTCGATGGTACCTATCAATAACAACAACAACTGGGGTGAGATGGTATCTCATTCTGATTTTGATTTGTATCTCTCTTATGGCCAGTGATTTTGAGCATTTCTTCATGTGTCTGTTAGCCAGCCAAGTATTTTCCTCTGTGAAAAGTCTTTCCATGTCTTTGCCCATTTTGTAATTGTGTGATCAGTCTTTTTCTTGCGGAGGCCCTGTAGGATTCTGTAAATTTTGGTATGAGACCCTTGTCCGAAAGAGTATTGCAAAATGTTTTTTCCCAGTCAGTAGGTATTCTTTTAACTCTGTTGGAAAAAGTTTTGCTGCACACAGAAATTTAATCATTAGAGGGTCCCATTCATCAATTTTATCCTCCCCAGACTGAGCATTTCTGGCTGTATTTGGCAGTCTCTTTATACCATAGACTAGGCCATCTAAGCTTGATCCCAATTTGTCTCTGATGAACTTTATGGTATTGCGATTTCTAGGTCTCTGATCTACCTTGAGTTGATTAAAAAAATGTTTTTAGTTGAATAAAAAAAAAATCATTGTTGCACAATTTCCTCCCTCCATCCCCAATGTCTCTCCCAGTTCACTTTGCAATGCATCTCTTATTCTGGACTGTTGACATACAAATAATGCCTAATCATATACTGCTTTTAAATAAACTTGCATCTCAATGTCAAGAAAACCAAACTGCTCACCATAGGACCAGTAGGAAACATCCTGATGTAAAGAAAACAAAACTCCTCCGCCATCAGACCAGTAGGCAACATCCTGATGGATGGAGAAATGATTAATACTGCCAACTCCTTCAATTTACTTGGATCCACAATCAATACACTTGGGACCAGCAGCCAGGAGACCAGAAAATGTATTGCACTGGGAAAGTCTGTAGTCAGGAACCTCTCCAGATTATTGATGAGTAATAATTTCATTTGAGGACTAAGGTGTGCATGGTCCAGGCCACGATCTTTTTAGTCACTTGCTATGCATCTGAAAGCTGGACCATGGCAAGGGATGACAGAAGAATTGATGCCTTTGTACTGCGGTGATGGAGAAGGGTGCTGAACATCTCATAGATTACCAAAGGACAAACATATATCAGCCAGAGTGCTCTTTGGAGGCAAAGATGGTGAAGCTTTGTCTCATGCACATTGGGCATACTTCCAGAAGAGGTTATTCCTTGGAGAAGGACATCATGCTTGAGAAGGTGAAGGGCAGTGAAAGAAAGGAACATGCTCGGCCAGGCAGGCTTTCATGATGACTGTGGGAATGGGCTTGAGTGTATCAGAGATTGTGAGGATAACATGAATATAGGACATTGTTCACATCAGTTGTTCATAGGATTGTTGTAGGTCATATTAGTTTGAAGGCAGCTAACAACCACCACCGCCACCACCACCAATTTGGAAAATGGGCTGGAGGATCAGCTGTTCTGACTCAGTAGCAAATAATTTGATCAGTTCCTTTAGGACTTTGCCCTAATGTTTTTTTCTTTTGACAGACTTTCTCGATATTGGCTTTGTTGTCACGGAGCCAGCTCAGATTTGTGGTGATCCCATATATTTCAAAACCAAACATTGCCAGGTCCTGTGCTATCTTCACAACCATCACTGTGCTTGGTTCATGGTTGCAGTCACTGTACATTTTGAATGCCTTCAGGTGTTGGAGTTCATTGATCAGCATTTTAGCAGACAGTAAGCTGCTGTGATTTGTATGGTTTTCACTAGCCAACTTGCAGAAATAGATTATCTGACTTTTCTTCCTCGTCTGTGTTAGTCTGAAAGCTCTGCTGAAGCCTGTCCACCATAGCTGAAGGCAAATATGCTGCTAGTATTTGAAACAATCGGGGCTGAAGACACATGCTAACACAGTACAACACACTGACAGGTAGGTGGTGGTGCTTCTTGATACATCCTCTGCTAAAGAATGATGTTGTAGGCTGGGATCTCCAAAAAGAGTTTCTGAAATGGAGCTGCGCATGTAGGCTTTTTATGGAGAGTGGTAGAAACAATGAGGAAAACTGGCCATCGGCTCTGATGGAATTGCAGTGTGGTTACAAAAGCATTTTCAGCTAATGACACAGAGCTGAGAAGCAGTACAGAGATATTCTTGTGGGTTGCCCCTAGGGCAGATGCATATCTTAAGGGAATTCACTGCTTTTGGTAGAAGGCTAAGATACAAAATTGCGAGCTGTCAGCATGTAACAGTTCTAGGAATGGGAGGGTAAATGCCAGATGCTGAAAGGGGATCCCGGTGGCATGCGATAGTGTCCACCAAGACAGGGCTTAGGAAAGTTTTCAGGGACTCAAGCATTTGTTTTATCTTTTTTTATTTAAAAAACATTATTATATTAGAGTTTTGGTGAAAGTTTATACACAAGTTATGTTCCCCTTTGATAATCTCCACACAAATTGATAACTTTTGCTATTGTTATGTGCTGTCAAGTTGCCTGTGAGTCATTGTTCTACTTTACATTTTCCACATTTCATCAACATTATTAACAGAGTTCTATTGTTATTGTTGTTTACCATTGGGTTGGAACTGACTCATAACTGAACCTCTGGCGGTTTTCAGAGGCAATTAATTGCATGGGAGAAGATTTCCCATTCTCCTGTGGAGCTGCTAGTGACCTTGAACTGGCCTTGAACCCTGTGCCTTTGGGATTGCAGAGATTTTTGTCACTTGTCCACTAGAGCTCCCTTAATAGAGTTCTTGTAGTAGTTCCATTTCATCTTTGATATGAATTAATGTTGACTTTTAAGAATAAACACATATGTATTTTGTTGTTTTCAGTAAAGTATCAATATACTAAGTAATATTTTTATGTCACCTTGCTTTTCTGTTAAAGGGTGTTCTTAGGGGATAGTTTTGGTTCAAGGTTTAAATAGTGTTTCAGAGTCAATCGGCTCAAGGAATCTTCTGGTCCCAGTGGTTCAGTTAGTCAGGCAATTGTGAAGATTTTGTGTTTGTTCTTTATTTCCTTTCCATTCTAGCCAAGATCATCTATTATGGCCCCGGTCAGATCGGTCTGTTCCGGTAATTGCGCAGCACAGATTCTCCTGGCCTCAGAGTGGGTGAGGTCGTGGCTCATGCTCGTCATCAATCCTTGTTTCTCCCCTGAGATTTTACCTTCTGACTCTTCTGCTCCAATAGCTGTATCTTACATGGCTGCTGGTAAGCTTTTAAGACCTTAGAATTGACTCACTTCACTAGGATGCAGAACATGAACTCTATTAAATAAGCTATATTAAGGCATTTGCTTTTAAGTACACAGTGTACCATAAGAGCACATTTCCATGTCTTACAGACTGTGGACTCCTGGGGTGGGGGTGGGGGAGACAAGTGTACCTTATTTACATCATTTGCCGTATCTCCAGTGTTCAGTGGAAGCGGGACACAGCAGGCACCTGATAAACAGCTATCTCAGAGGAGGAAAGATGTTTATGTTCTTTTCCTGGCCATTGCAATAGGTGGGGAACGTGATGTGTCATGCTGCCCCTGAAAACAGGTTCAAAAAAACTCTTGTTTTCAGTCTCATTCTGGACAGAAGCTATTTGCCCAAGTGAGACGCTGAGTGAGAACACTGGAGGACACATTTTGGGCAAAGCAGAAAGCCTGAGAGTGTGCCAGATGATCTGATGGCAAACAAGAACAGAGAAACACATGTTGAGGATGACACTGTCCAGGAATGGTTGGCGGTGAACGGCCATTTCCTCTCTGAGCATTGTCTGCTGGCCAGCCTTCTGTGCATGCGGACATGACTCAGAGGTTGGCATGTAGTACCAGCTTTTATTTAGTGACCACTGTTTCTAGCAGGCCCCCAAAGTCAATAGACCATTGACTTCTTAGCAGCCAACAGGTAAGGGGAAAAAAAGTAGTTGAAAGGCGGCAACATCAACAGGAAATAAAACATTTTTATTGAATATCCGTGTAATAGGTTAAGTCATTTTTTTTTAACAACAATCAGAAAACTACTGTGGAATTCACTACACAAAGTGAAACGAAATTTAAATCACCTCATCAAAAATGAAGGTAAAATACAGCTAAAGTAGTTGGCTCGCGGGCCACGAGCCATATGGCAGAAGAAAACACCCCAACGTTTCTACAAGGTACAGAGAAAATCCACACATAGAAACACTCAAGCAGGCAGTAAATATACACAAAGGCAACTAGGATCTTTCTAGAGCATCAGATTCTAATACTTCACACAGCTTTGTCAGGAAGGTACACGTGGCTGGTCTGAGGATGAATCTCGGGCATGCAGCAGGTTCGGTCACTGACTTATGAAAGGTGGCATAGTACCAACTAATTCGATGGTGACAGTCCCATGTCTGGCAGTGTTACAAGAGAATGCCTCAAGAGTGCTTTAACGTAAGAAATGATGTGCATCTGGGCAGCTTGAACCTGCATGTTTTGAAGGGTGTGCATCAGTGTGAACTTAAAGCTGAATTCAGTAAAACTTACTTTTAGTGTCTGGTAGTGTAGGAATTTGGAAAGGTCCCCTTTGGTAGAGTCTGGTCCTTTGAACTTAAAAGAGTCTTGCTTGAGTTTTTCTGGTTAAGACTGATATTTAATCTCATATTATGACTTTTATATTTCCTAGTATGTGTGTGTTTGGAAAGAGTGTTGACCACTGGCGGAAGAGGGAAATACTAGTCCTCTTTTGTTCTGCATATGTCCTCTTTGTAAAGAGTTTGTCACAAGTGGGCTGGAAGACCAAAGGGCTTGCTGTTTCTTTGATGAGCAAAGAATAATGACGGAAATTCATGTTTTATCAGGAAACAGGCAATCCCCATGTTCAAAGCCTACTGTCAGCCCTTTCATAATTCTCTTTGGAGGTTTGCTTCCCACCCCCCTCAAATGTAGCATGATATCCTAAAGCTTGAACATGAGCTCAATGCTTAGTTTCCCTCCATTTTGTTTTGGTATCTGCAAAGATAAATTTTCCCTTCAGAGCATCCCCACTCTCTGTGCCCTAGGAATAAAAGTAGCTCAAAGAAGCAAGTAGTGGGGAAAACGACTCGATATGGTATGATACAGAGTAGGCTGCCCTTTGTTAAAGTGGTTGCGGAGAAAACTATGGAATATTGCACAGTGCTTGACGAAATGCTGTGTGTTCCACCCCATTATATATAGCCTCCTTGTCCTATGCATAGCTTTTCAGTTCAGAATTGGTCCTTTGTAATGAGAACTGTTTGTGCTACACACACCTTGGGCAGTGCATTAGAGGGAATGGCAGTATTGTTACAAGATCACTACAGAATAAATTGAGTGCTATCCACTGAGGAAACTAGGTTTCTAAGCACACATGGCGTCACAGTGTTACACAGAGCAGTCCTTTAAGACTCTTATGGAATGACTAGTAGCTTCATAATAGTGCCATTTACTACAGAATAACATTGAAAACATTTAAAAACACCTCCTAAGTCAAGCATCTAGTATACATTAAGAGGTTGCTTCAGTTTTCTAGAACTTGTTCTTGGTTTGGATTCACCTTTTTTTTTTTTAAAGGACAAATTAAAACTTATTGAAGTAAAAAGACATATAAAAAGATCACTAGCTGTCTGTTTTGGCTTAATCGAAGTGCATTCAGAACTATGGCTAATTGTTGGTTTTTTCTCCCCCTCTTCTTCTTTCATCTTTTGATGGGATTACAATACTGTTGACCACAAAGCTATTTTGTGTAATAAACACACATTGCTGTGTTAAAATATTCTGCATTCCTTCTAATCTGGTTCTGTATATTAAAATAGTTTGGTATAAAGTCTATTGTGCAAACTTTTTTAGATTTATTGTCGGTGTGAATTCTGGAAGAGAGATCACAGACAGGATGTACATTTTGTATAAAGGTGATAACGGAGAGCTAACTTTTTTGTTTTCTTTTTAAATAGTCAGGCAATATTTGAGAAATGCTATCTTCTCCCCTCAGCTTCTTCCCTCCCACCCCCAACCCTATCCCTAAACAAATGCGCACGCTCGTGCGCACACACACACACACACACCCCACACACACACAGAGAACACCATCATGTTGTTGCTCTAATATGCAATAATATGAAATTATTGACTCCTGTTCAACCGCTTCCTCAAATGTAAGAGTGAAGCCATGAGCTTCGCTTTGTAGATATGTACAGACAGGTGCTGTTCAGGTTTGTGGCTTTGCTTCCTTGAGGTCAGCCCAGATGCTGCTCAGATCATGCTCATTTGCCTGTGAAGGAATTGTATAAAATTGGATTCACCCACTGAGTATGTGGTGTCAGCATGTCTTGGTACTCAAATGATTCAGTTGAAAGCTCAGGTTTAAATTGTCCTTTAAGATGTCAGTGTAACTGTGCTAGTGCCTTACGAGTTGATATTTTTGCTGGAATGCAGACGATACGATATTTACCATATAATATGTTATCAGCTTTCCTATATCTCGGTCAATTTACATAGTTTAAAATAGAACATCTTATTAAAAACATCTAGCTATACACAGATTAGGAAACGCTTACAACATACAAATACACAAACTAGAAATAAATCTTTAGCATACTGGTATATACAATGGTGTGATACAATAAATAATTTCAGTCATGCTCTATCTACACATCATATTGCTTAAAAGAAGAGTAGAGTTGGAGGGCAGTGATATGATGAAGGGCTTAGGAATTCTCTACATTTCAATTTGTGCAAATCAAAACAGGATTTGAAGTACCACTGAATTGTGTTAGGAATGCATGGCTGGAAAAACGAAAGGACCCAGATTACTGAGGTATTTACAGATACTGGCTAAAGAGCACTATGTGGGCAAACGCAGAAAGGCTTCTTCTTCCCTTTACTTCTTGACTGCCAGCATGGCATCCACTTCCTCCTCGACCTGGAGGGTGTGCCACTGGGCGATGGGTCGCCTGGGGTTGGCCAGCATGTCTGACCAATGCCGCAGCTCCGCGCCGGTGCTGTTGTAGCCTACAAAGACTTTGCCGATGGCGTCGTTCTTGCCAATCTTGTCATAGTCCAAAACAGTTACCACCACTTGCACTTTCTGGAAAAGAACACCCAAAACACATTAATTTGCCACCTTCCTGGACATCTAAGGAATTGGAAATGAGAATTAACTATTGAGGACAAGATTGAAGATGACTTGAAATATGAAAAACAGAATCTTATTCCTCTATCAACATCCTCCTTGTAACATTATATAATTAGAACATATTCAAGAGTCTTCCTTCCTTCCTTCCAGTTTTAAAAAATTATATACTTGACACTATTCTAAGTCCTTAATGTTAATGAACTAACTCAGTCACTCTTACCAAGCAATCCTATTGATGTTGAAATTGTACAGATGAGTATGCTGAAGCTCAGGGAACTGAAGTAACCTGCCTATGTCAAGTACAGGATGAGTGATGGGTGGTTGGATCTCCAGAGCCCTTGCTGTAAACTACCCACATCATATCTCTGGTCAGTTCTAATTTGATGGCATTGTTGTTGTTGTTGTTGTTATGTGCCATCGAGTCATTTGCAACTCACAGTGACCCTATGTACAACAGCCATAAACCCTGCTCTAACCTGTGCCAATAGCATTGCCTCTGACACACCCATCCTGATTACCCCAGTCACTGAATTAATCCACCTCATAGAGGGTCTTCCCCTCCTGCACTGTCCCTCCACTCTACCCAGCATGATGCTCATTGAGAGTTGAGTATATATAATGCTTTCCTGTATATGATACATATACATATGACATACTCTTTAATTATGCTCCTCACAAAGGCTCTCTATAAATTAACAGATCACTAGGTGCCAGAGTTACTATCCCAGTGGACCTCTAAGTTGGGGCTAAAATTCAAGACCCAGGGCTCTCCATCATTACTCCAGAGGGTATGGTCAAAATTCAGAGTTTGGAAAGTAGGGCCTTTGCCAGATGTTCTCAAAACAGGAGATTATTTTTAAGACTTGAGATCTAATGTAAATTGTCCTGTTGAGTTTTGGGCTATGGAAAGTTCCTGCTCTCTATTCTCCGTCTCCAATCTCTTTCATTTGTGATGAAATATTAATTTTGCACTTGACTCACCATTGTATTTTGGAAGCAGATAATGTATATATCAGATTTCACAGGGTCACATATGAAAAGGAATTTTGTTCCAGAACAGAATAAACTCAGGTCCCAGCTATATTTGATTTAGATGATTTAGAAGATGAGATGATGGCAAAGGACACACTGACAAAGAAGATTAATCAGAACTGGCTTTGACAAGCACTGTGGCATTTGGACAAGAACAAACTGGGAGGAGGGTAGAGAGAATAGTGCAACAATGAATGAGTGGAAGCCCAAAATCTCTGTAAATGTTAATGAAAATTAATAAAATATAATTATAGAAAAAAAAGAAGATGAGATGAGAATTTGGACTTGGAGATGACTCATGACTTGTAGATGATGTGATAAAGTGAATGTGTTCTGCAAATGGCAAAAGAAATGGATTCTGGGAGAATAAAGGGTAGATTTATGGATTGAATGATGTTTTTCCAAAATATGTTTTATAAGTCTTCTATGACTGTGGCTATACTCTTATTTTAAAATGGGTTGTCTGTGTTCTGTTAATGGGACAGGATTAGTCTATGATGTAGCATGATTCAATTTGTTTTCAGACAAGCAGAGGCGGAAAAAAGATGCCAAGTCATATGGAGATTATCCAGGAGTAGAAGCTCAAAAGAGACAAAGACTTTCCTCCAGAGTCTAAGAATAAAACCAGAAGAAAGGAAACCATCCCTTAAAGGATGTTGTTGTGTGTTGTAGAGTCAGAACCAATTCAAAGCTGAGCAGCCAGCAGGTTTTCAGAGGCAGAAGGAGACTGCTCATCTTCCTCTGTGGAGGAGCTGCTTGAGTCTAACTGCTTGTCTATGGGATTGCAGATTTTTACTACTAGGCCACCCTGAATTTGGACTTCTAACATCCTAAACTGTAAGGAACACTGGTTGTCCATAGGTTAACTTAGTAGCTAGCCAAAAGTTTGTAAGTTCAAACTCACCAGTCCCTCTAAGGTAGCATCCACCTCGTAAAGATTTACAGCCTTGGAAATCTTATCAGGAAGTTCTACTCTGTAATTTTGGGTCACTATGAGTTTCAGAAAGATGGACAGTGTCCCTTCGTGCTCTGTACAGCTTCTAAAACTACCTGGAGGGTTGGCTTTGAGCTGGTTCCAATTCAATGGTGAGACTTTTTTGAGATGAATTAGAATGGATTCAATAGGAATGGGAAACTGAGAAAATAAACTTGCTTTTTGAGACAGTGCTTGAAAGAAAAATCCATATTGTTATGGTATGAAAGAAACACCATTTTAAGAACATTTGAGTATTGCTTCTTGCGTAATAAATTAGTGAGACTATGCTATGGCTCCAATCTAGAAATTGAATAAATAAATACAAAGGAAGAGTTTAAAATAAAGCAGAACATATAACATTTGGTAACTAGAGTAAAAGAAGCAGAAAACATGATAAAATTCAGGCCCAGATGAAGAGCCCCAGAATTATTGGTTTTTAGTGAATGGACTTTAGACTCTGAGGACTGCATTATTGCACCAGTGTCCTAAGAAATGTCATCGATGTACAGCCTTCAAAAGGGAGAGATTGATTACTTTCAAATGTGGAGTTTAGATTGTAAAATTCACTACACTGACACTAATGGAGACAAACTCCAGTCCTTTCTATTGAAGTATTGGATTGGTTCCATTATCAAAAGAATTACATAGTTCTGGACAGTATTTAGAATGGAGACTAGGATCACCTTGCCTAGAAAGGACATTTAAGCAATGTCATCAGGATGCAATCACATTGCAGAGAATGAGGGGCTAGGGATACATTATGCAGCAAGGTAAAGAAATTTTTCAGCATTTGGGATGAGTTTTGATTATTCACTTAGGAATGCATTGATTGACAGCACTCAAAAAATAACCTTGTGAAAGTCTAGGATTAAATTTTCTAGCTGCCAGTGTAGTTTATTTATAAACACATTTGGAAGGGGCAACACTTTCATGTGCTTTTAGAAGCAATATATTTTTCTTTGGTCATAATTTATTTTTCAGAGATAAAGAAAGAGGGTGAGATCATCCTATAATTTCAGAATGGGAGAAATTTAAATCCCAGTTTCAACATATGAATGTTCAATTGTTTTCTTCAAAAACACACCTCAGATTAGGACGGGGTGGGGTGGGCGAATGGATTTAAGGAACAGAAAAGGAATTCTACGAGTACTTGCTCATTTTTTCCAAGCCTCATGATAAGGAGTTGTACTGCTAACCCAAAGGCACACTGTTCAAATCAACCAGTTGCCTGGGGAGAAAGATGGGCAATATCCTCCCATGCAATTTACCATCTCTGAAAATCTGTTGGAAGCTCAGCTATAGGTCAATTCTGACTTGAACATACACAACAACAACAACTACAACAACAATACACTCTGAGGTGGCTTGAGTGTGAGCCTACTGGGTAAGGAGTTGTGCTGCTATCTCAAAGACAGGTAGTTCAAATCCACTAGCTGCTCCATGGTGGAAAGAGGACCAGTCTCCTCCTGTGTAATTTTCAGCCTCTGAGAACCTGCTGGAATGTCAGCTATGACTTAGTTCTGACACAGAGCAATGAGTTTGAGGTTTTTATTACTCCAATATTCTTGTCTGACAAAATATTTTCTCCTTGAAAACCAACATGTCTTACTTTTAATGTGCTTCACTTTCAAGACATTTACATCTATCTGTCCTTTAGAGTTCAAAAAGAACATTTTTTTTAAAAGTGAAAATTGTTGCTCCAAGGAGAAGCTTCACAGTAGGATTTTTCATCTCAATGAGCAACGTTATCTCGTTTTGCAGAAAAATGAGATGCCAAGGGATGTTAGTTTCCATAGAAATGAGATCCTAAAGCTCAAAAGGGCTCACTGAACACATAATAAAAAGTAAATCATTGGAGAAAATTGGTTATCTTAGGGGTTTTCCAGTGGTCTAAAGCAGTGAGTTCAACAGTTCAGGTGAGTGAACAGTGATGGGGATGGGACGCGGAAACAGTTAGTTATGTAATAACCACAGAAAGGAAATAGAACTATTTTGCAATGAGTTTGTCAAGAGAATACAGGTGTTGGTGAATATCATTGCAAAACATGAGCCAAAATGGGAAGGGAGAAGAGTCATATTGAAATCATCCTCATTGGAAATGTAGATATGGGCAAATCCACTCCTACTGGCCCCTTGATCTACAACTGTGGTGAGATTGACAGAAGAGCCCTTGAGAAATTTGAGTGGTTAGGTGCTGAGATGGGAAAGGGCTCCTTCAAATAAGCCCGAGTCTTGGATAAATTGAAAGCTGAAAGCAAGGGTGCCATCGCCATTGATACCTCCCTGTGGAAATTTGAGATCAGCAAGTACTATGTGATCATCATTGATGCCCCAGGACACAGAGACTATTAAAATATCCCCATGATTACAGGAACATAACAGGCTGACTGTGCTGTCCTGATTGTTGCTGCTGGTGTCAGTGAATTTGAGGCCGGTATTTCAAAGAATGTAAAATGTGATAATGGTTATTCATTGCCAGTGATTTTGACCATTTCTTCACATGTCTGTTGGCCATCCAAATATCTTACTCTGTGAAAAGCCTTTCCATGTCTCTTGCCCATTTTGTAGTTGTGTTATCAAGTTTCTTTCTTGTGGAGGCCCTATAGGATTCTGTAAACTTTTGATAAGAGACCCTCATCTGAAATGGTATTGCTAAATGGTTTTTTTTGCCATCAGTAGGTTTTCTTTTTTACTACTACTCTTAACAGTCCTATAAACAATATATCTGAGTCTTGTGCTATCGTGCAACATCCTCACAACCTCCACCATAATCTCCACAAGCGAGCCCACTGATGCAGTCACTGTGACAGTCCATCTCACTGAGTATCTTCCTCTCTTTCCTTGACAGTGTCCTTACTCCAGGATTTTGTCTTTTCCAAGTGCTGGCCCATCCTGACAACATGCCCAAAGTATGTGAGGTGAAGTTCCACCATCCTTGCCTCTA